TCAAGTTGGCCACCAACGTGGCAAACGGCGTGGACATTGCACAGCAACACAAATTGGTTGATAGCAACAATAGCATGTCGAAGGCAAACGCCAGCAATGTCACAAACGTTGCAACAGCTGTCGTTCCCAGCAGCTGCAACACGCCCACTAAAATTACGCTGCCCAATTTAGTTAACCTGGGCATATTGACGCCGGCCACATCGCCCACCAAGAATACACAGACGTTAACTTTCACTACCACGGCCGCCAGTCAGCAGCAACAACAACAGCAACAGGCTCTGGTGGCAACACTCACGACCAACATGTTGCAGCAGAACCAGAAGCTGCCCAACATAACAAAGACCAACATACTGCTGCTGCAAGAGCCAACCACAACTAGCACCCATCTGATACAGTCATCGTCTCAGCATCACCAGCAGCAGCAGCAACAACAACACCAACATGTGCTGCCCATCAGTCCCACCAGCAGCATTGGTAGCAGCAGCAGTAAGAGCAGCTCCCCAACACCGCCTCAACAACAGCAGCACAAAAACCCAACTGCTGCTGTTCTAAAGCAAAAGCATGTCATGACAGCAGTAGCATCAACAAGTGCTTCCAGTGTTGAGCCTATGGACACGGATGAGACACCAATTGTGGCCAGCGATGCATTAATGCTAACAGACAGCACTCTGTGTTCAGCGGCTGCAGCTGCTGTTGGCACAGTTGACGGCAAGGATATTATGCCGTCGACAATTGCAACGGCCGTCAATTCGGGTACCATCACTGTGGCAGCCATTGAAGTTGTTGGCGCCGGCGTTGTCAACACCGAAACGTAGCCTATACTCAAGCAGCTACTTATGCGGCGCCAATGCTCGCTGGAAGCGACGCCGGCTCCACCAACTTAAACAGCAAGCGTCGCTTCTCGTATACGAACAAAAACAACAAAAAGAAAAAAAACAAGAACAGCAAACATTCTAACAATACACTGTAAAAGAACAACCTTGTTCGCACTGCTTAGTTAATGTACTCAATTTGTAGTTATTATAACTTTAAGGTACGCCTCACCCCTCTGGACGATAGAGTGTGTGTGTGTTGGGGGGTAGGCGTCGACACTCACCAAAACCCATTGGAAAAACATTTTGTAGACTGCTTTTAAAATATTTTTTCGGCCTATATTGACCAGAGCGTATATAAGCTGTGTCTTTAAAAACATTTGTATTATGTATTATGAAAACGCGAATCGTATAGATTGTGCAATATGATTTTGTATACAACACTTTAGTTAGCGATTAACGGCTGATCTCCACTTAATTTAATTAGACATAGTAATATATAGACGAAGGATTGCAACCATTTATGCAACCCTATTGTAATAAACTGCAAAACTTTTGAATTTAATTTCCAATTTATCGAACATTTTATTGTCAGAACCAGACACTGTACGCATCTATATGGAACATGCAAAAGAAAAGTATTATTTATGTCTTAAGAACTAGCAAAATGGATTTCATGTAGTATATACACATATTTTAATATATACATATATATATATATATTAATCTATCCATCTGTACAATAAGCGTTAGCCTACAGAACTCTCATTATATATTTAAGTTAACACACATTTCGAAAGATACTTTCCACTTTGGTGCAATAATTTATTTTGTATTTCTCATCTCTCAGACTTAACACAAATTATATTTCTGTTGTAATCGTTGAATTTTTTTTTTCTTTTTTATATATTTGGTTTGCCTTTTGGTTTTTGTTTTATGATTTCGTTACTTCTTTTCCTTTTCTCTCTACCTATTGCAGAAACCTCTTACTCCTGCTCACACAACAACAGCAACAGCAACAGTAGCAGCAGCAGCAGCAGCGACAGCAGCAACCAACTTGCAGCAGCCAAGTTTAATCGGCCCACAGCAACAGCAGCATCAACAGTTGCTACAACAGCAACGATGCCAGCAAGCAAACCGTCAGCGACCACGCCCATGCAAATCTCGTACACCTTCATTGAGCACAAGTATTCGCTGGGCTTCAAAGAGAAATTCTTTTCGAATCTGCGTGCCAGCCGCAATGGAACCTTGTCGGCGCCCAATGGCGATCAGCTGGCAGCAACTGCCGCTGCCATTGGGACAGAGTCAACGAGTTCAGCAACTGTTGGTGGTGGCGGCAGCAGCAATGCCAATATGCTCGGCGCTGTTGCTGTGGGTCAGATGTGCGCGCTGCAGAACGAGCACATACATCAAAATCTCTACAAGAAAACAATCAATTGAGTGTCAGATCGGATCAGATCGGACCGCATAGAGAGCGTTGGCTGTGATGAAGTAGCACTTAAGTAAGGCATTAAGGCGGAGCAAGAGGATTCGTCAATAAGGCAGTAGAGGATTAGGCAGAGCAGACCCAATTTTTAAGCAGTTCGATCCAACAAATTTTTAAACAAAAACATAATTATCTACATAAATGTTAAAATCCAACCACTTCACAAACTATACCCGAAAAAAGAAAAACTAACAAATTTATACGATTGGCAGTAAACAACACACACACCAAGCAACAAGAAAATATATATATATACATATATAAGACTTCTCTCTCTCTATCTCTCTTAACACTGCATTAGAAAATTTTTCAAAAACAATCTAAGTAAACCACATTAAAAAAGTAACCATAAAATTTAGTGAATAAATTTTTGAAGGTGTTTCTTCAACTAGTCATTATCGTAGTTAAATTAAATATTTTTGATTCACATTCACATCTAGAAATGTATAGCCAACTATTACATCTAGGACAATAGTTGGTCAATCACATTTTCCATAACAAATTCATCGTATTGGCAAGAGAAAAAATGAAAATTGAAAATTCGTGTTCTTCATATTAGCAAAATTTTTCGTTAGGCGCGAAGTTAAATTTGCCAAAAAAAAACTTCGTATAAAAACAAAAAAAATATTGTATCGAATATGCAAGCAAATAAAATAGCTAGCTACAAATTAAAAAAAAAAAAAAAAATAAAAAAAAATAACAACTGAAACTGAAAAAATACATAAAAAATAGAATTGAAGTTTTTAAGCTTCAACTGTTTCCGTTTAAAACCCACAATAACTCGTATAGTAGTTATAGTATTATATGACATAAATTAGATATATAAATATATATATATATATATATATATATATGTATATATAAATATATATATATATATATGTATATATAAATATATATTTGTAGTTATATGTGCGTGTACATTTAATTTATATATTGTTCTATATGTGTGTGTCCGTACGATTATTAAATTGATCTAATGTCTGTCTTAATTACAATTTTCGATCGTCCTTAAATGTAATAAACTTAACAATAATATAATTATGTATACATTCATATATATATTTATATATATATAGCTATATGTTCTATTTCTATGATGTGAGTCATATTCAAAGTATTTTATGCATGCATACAAAATTAATATTAATAATTAGAAATTATTTGAAAAAAACAAGAAGAAAATATGGAAGCGACACATCGCCCAGCAGCAATAAATTAAAAGTAAAAACTGTAATCGGGTTCCTTATGTACGAATAATGCATAAAATTGAAAGATAAAAGTAAACATGAATGAAACTAAACACGAAACAGAACAAATTAATTGAAATTTTTAAAATATATATATATATATATATATATATATATATATATATATATATATATATATTATACTTATATACAATACTATATATACAAGCATAAACATAAATATACATAATACTAAAATATATATTATTTATATATATGTATAGGAGTACAGAATAATTAACAGTAATATAGTATACCTAAAGCCGCCAACCGCCAAACAACAACAAATTTTGAAGCGCATTTGCGAGACGCTCAGCGTCTAAAATTAAACTAAATAAATGTGCGTCCCCTCCCTAATCCTATATATATATACAGTATATCTATAAGACCACACGCTTATGCGGCCTCTAACTGGCCGATATAGTTTAGCTATCAACTTTTATAAAAACAACAAAAAAAGTAAAGAAAAACTAAAAGCTGCATGCTTCGGGTAATCGAAGCTTATATATCCTTGCAGATCGTTTTCTGGAAATCAAGATCCTTCAGAAGCACACTTCTTTCACTGCATACAAGTTAGGCACCCAGACTTTCCTATCTGTTCAATCGATCTGCAGGGGTAAATGGAAAAACTTGCGCTGAAGATATATAAATCAGAAATAGGCAAAAGCAAGAAAACTTTGGAAAGCAACTCAAAACCCTCTAATGAAAACAATAAATTAAATATATATATACATATTTCTATATTTAAATGTATTTCATCTTATATAAGACTGCTGTTATGTTCGTAAATATATTTAATATATATTATAATTAACGAAAAATATAAACCATACAATTAAACACGATGAAAAAAAAAACAAAAAAAAATGAATAGTTAATGTATTCATACTCTACCTATATACATACGACTATGTACTATACTATATGCATATATAATATAATGTACTGTAATTAACTAAACTTCGTAATTATGTATATGTAGAGGATTAGTGGAAGCGTACATGTATGTAACCAACAAATCAATCTATATATTGAAACAAGGGCTAAAGTTTAGAGACTTGAAATATGACGGGTTTTAATATCGAGTAACCTAATTGCATCATCATTATCATTATCATCCACAAAAAAAAAAAAAAACAAAAACAAAGTAGTAAAATATTCTCTTTTTGCTTTATGTGATCTATATATACATATACATTAAAACAAACATAACTACATACATATACATATATATATATCTATATATATGTACAATAAAAAATGTCCTTGGAAAAAAATGGAAAGTCGTTTTATCTGTTTTGGGTAGATAGTGGGAGTGGGATAAAGTAGATTTATAAATCTACTAAAAGACAGGATTTTGATTCTAGAACTGATCTGCCATACTTCGCCATCTAGCATGATATTTATCCTCAACATCCATGAATATATTGAATTCAGAAAAAATGCAGAACAATCTTGTTTCTTGGAACTTTAAATAACAATATATTTGGTTAAATATATATTTGGTTAAATACTTGAGTATCTTTTAAATATGTTCTTCAAATTTAAACCGAGTGGTTCCGAACTTCGATATATATATATATAATAAATAGACATATATTATATTGGAGGAATGTTTAGTTTAGCGCCTTGGTTCAAGCATGCCGATATAATGGCAAATTTTCTCGAGGAGCACCGGATCTCTAATCAGTTGCATCTTTGACTGCAGCTCATAAAGGCTATGCAAATCGCGTTGCTCAAAGGCGCAATCAATTGACTCCTCGTACAAGCTGAATAATATGGAAGAGATTTAATAGATATTTCTCCTGGATATAGCAGAACAGACAACTTACCCAGCTCGCATATACCAGTACACCTTGCGTTTGTCCGGACAGCGTAAAATATATTTTTGTGCTTCTCGCACATTGTCCTGCTGCAGACAGACCTCAACGAAGGGTTCATAGCCAATGGGACTCTTTTTGCTCTTCGAGAATTTCTCCAACTCTACCCAGTTGTACTTATCGGCCAAGGTAAGTATGCGCAGCCACCAAAACCTGCGATCGGGCACCTTATAATCACTTTTGATCTTCTCCGCCTCCTTCTGTTCGCCCACTTTTAACAACTCTAACATTGTATCATGTATGGATAATCCATTAAATCGAATGGCGCCATTATGCCTGGTCGAAAGTGTCTTCTGCAGCTTAAGCATGCGCGCTGTATCCGCACATAGTTCTGCCTCCACAGTACATCTGCCCTGTGCGTAACTATTGCCAATATTCGACAGATTCGATTCAAGACCCTCGCTATCGAGTGCATTATAGAAATGATACTCGGCAATGGACTTGTGATCATCCTCGGTGTTGTAAATGTCAAAGAGTGCTGTGCGACTGGACTCCATCATAATCTTCTTGTACATATTTAGGGCCAAAGGATATTCTCTTATAATCATCTACAAGTTAAAAGCATTTAGTTGAGAATATTCCAATAGAAACATTATTTAAATTTACGTGGAAATTGGAGAGCATCATTTTCTTCTTTATTTCGAGCAGCACCGCTGTGACTAGCTCCGTATCGCCAGATTGTGTGGCACTCGCCACTGCCCGATCGAATTTGCCCATTTTGAGTAGTAGTGGCACATGCAGCGAGGTACGCGGCTCTAGCTCCAGCAGCTTAATAGCCAATTCATCGCGTCCATTTTGATGCGCTTTCTCTGCTATATTGCAATAGGAAATGCCTTCAATTGAAGGATTCTTGAATTTTTCAGTGATCTTGCGAGCCACCTCGTTATCATCTAGAAATAAGAGAATTAATTAACGACTGTAAATAGAAGAGCCACATTTTGGCTTACTCTGATCATTCATGACTTTATGATAAGCCCAATGTTCTAATATCCAAGATTCGGGTAATTTTAGGTGCTTGGCGACTTGTATGGCAACAGCGTAATGTTTGCGAAAGACTAGGCGACTCAAAATTACCTCCGGGTTAAGGTGAGAAAATCTGTAAATATGCTTATTAGCATATACCTAATGTATTTAAATGTATATATGTATTTTACTGCTTATAGGTAAGCGGCATGGCAATTTTCTCGTGGCGCAAAGTATTCAGAACCCTCAATATTCTTAAGATGCGCATATACTCTTCGGGATTATGGGATGGTATAAAGCCCTTTCCAAAGTAAGCTGTCTGCAATAGATGAAATTGATGACATAATGAATTAGATGTGGATATCAGTCAGCTTACTCGCATTAGACTCTTCTGGGTGACGGGACAGAATTCATAGGCTGCCGCTTCGATACACTCGTTCACAGCCAATTCAATGTTTGAATGGCACATGCTCAAATATTCATCGGATTTGTAGGATTTCTCCTCGAATTTCTTTTGTGCCTCGAATAGATAGCTCGCTGGCTCCTGGCTATTTACGGCAAATATGTTCTGCACACATTTCGGCAAACGTTGAATCATTTCATGTGAGGTTTGACTAATAATGCGAACACCATCCATTTCGGCAACCAGAAACATGACGGGATCACTGGGAATTTCACTTCTGTCCGCATTGCGATTGACAATCAATAGATATGAGGGATAGGAAATGACGACAGCATCTGCATCGGTATTATGGGTATTCATAATCCATTCAATTTGCAGTGGTATATCCTTGCGGCCAGTATCGAACTCGCAATACTTCTGGCGCATATCGACGCTGCCCAACCAGAGCAAACCAGTGTTGGTGTACAACGCCAAGTGCTGATGGTTGTACGAAACGGAAATCTTAATAATGCGATCATGTGGTTTCTCAAACAGATTTGCGGTCACGGTGCCCACAGTTTGACCGTGCTGCAACTTAATGACCTCTCGCTCGCGGCCCAGTAGGCAGTAGCTATTCCGACCTTCAGTTACAATCTCCCAGCAGGAACAATTCGAATTGGAATCTGGGAAAACGATTGGAGTTCATTTGGTAAGAGTTAGAGTAGATAACTTATTGCATCTCTCACTTGGTATATCAGGTAACTTTCGCTCTGTTTTGTTGCTGTTCTGCTTTAGAAAAATGCGACCGGAAGTAGTCATTACGGCCACGCCAGTGCCAGCTGCCGATTGAAAGACTTTGGCTTCCACAATTTTAATGACGCTCGCCTCTCCACCAATGCTATACGATTCCTTTTCATTGCCAAACAGGTCGTAGACAAAGACTTTGGCATTCTCCAGCACGCAGATGAGTTCCTCTGTGTCCGACCAACCCATCGAAATAAGCTTACCATGGTTCCACTGCATCAATATAAAAATGTTTTTATAAAAATAATAATCCACTTGTTGCTCGCCATATTAGCTGCTTACCAATATATGACCAGTTTCATTGCCGCTGGTATCAAAAATCCTAATCATCGGCCTCGATGTACCTTTGACAGGCACCAGTTTCGTAGCATCGCGTATTGCAGCTAAAGGACCTCCGTACGGGGCTGCTACAACTTGCATGTACTCTAAATCAAAATCGATTGGCCAATCAGGTGTTGCAAGCTCCACCTTTCTGTGGGCGTGCGACCGCAAAACAGATATACACATTTTTCGTCATTGAAAAGTAAAATGTATAGCTTTTTTATCAGTTTCTTTGACGCTTACCTGTAGTAGTCCGGTCGGACTTTAAACCACTCTCCCGTATTATTCATTATCGGCATGATTAAGAAAATAAATTAATAAATATTGTAAAGAAAAAATAAACAGACGTAGTGCATTTTTCCGCTGCAGTTGTTGTTCTGATTAGAGAATACAAATATTCGAGTAACTGTTACTTGTCACGAATCGTAGTTCAACTAAATACATCGTTGACTATTGACCACCACATTAAGCCAGAAAATTTAATATCATAACAAACAATTAGAATAATGCTTGCGTCGAAAATATCTTGAAATGAACATTTAATATATATATAACAATTGTTGTTTCACTAATTATCACCTTCTTCATTATTCACTTATACTCTATGCGATATTTGCAATTGGTTTTCGGAACAAAATGTGCCGTGTGTGAGCCCCTAACACATACAACGCTGGCTCTTGCACATGTGAAAGGCCAATTTCGACAGCCAGTATTATTTGCTACAGCGCTACGCTTAAAACCACTTTAAACATTAATAATTTATTAACAAATGGCTGATACAAAGCAAACAGTTGTTGAGGGCGTCGATGCACTCACCTTAAATGGCAAATCCGAAGCAGAGACTGTCGAAACGGCAACGGATGCTGGTGGCGCTGAGTCAGGAACAACAAATGCTGACGATGTGGTTGATCCATGGAATGTGGCCAGCAGCAATGATGCAGGCGTCGATTACGACAAGCTAATAAGTATGCAACACGATTTTGTGGCCACTCAAATGTGCAAATCTTGATAATTATCTATATATATGGCCTTTTTGTTGACACGTTGCAGAGCGTTTTGGTTCGAGTAAAATCGATGAGGAACTTATCGCACGTTTTGAAAAAATCACAGGAAAGCCAGCTCATCATTTAATCAGACGCGGCATATTCTTTTCGCATCGCGACCTGCACTCAATTCTAACGCTAATCGAGCAGGGCAAACCATTCTACTTGTACACGGGACGAGGACCCAGCTCCGGATCGTTGCATGTGGGGCACTTGGTGCCGTTTATTATGACCAAATGGCTGCAGGAAACTTTCGATGTACCTCTGATTATTCAGCTGACGGACGACGAGAAGACCCTGTGGAAAGATTTGAAAATCGAGGACGCAATCAAATTGGCCCGTGAGAATGCAAAGGATATTGTTGCCATGGGCTTTGACTTGAATAAGACCTTCATATTCAATAACTTGGAGTTTATGGGGTAAATACATTTGTACACCACTTGTACCCAGCATATAATCAAATCATTTTCTTTCCAGCAAATGTCCAGCATTCTACCAGAACATAATTCGTATTCAAAAGTGCGTCACGTTTAACCAGGTGAAAGGCATTTTCGGTTTCGGCGACTCAGATATTATTGGCAAGATAGGATTTCCAGCCGCGCAGGCAGCGCCTGCCTTATCAAGCACCTTTCCTTTCATCTTTGGCAATAAGAAAGTTCACTGTCTGATACCTTGCGCCATTGATCAGGATCCGTATTTCCGTATGACGCGCGATGTGGCGCCACGTCTGGGTTTCCCCAAATGTGCACTCATCCACTCGAGTTTCTTTCCGGCATTGCAGGGCGCCAAAACGAAAATGTCAGCAAGTGAACAGAACTCGGCTGTATTTCTGACTGATACTCCCAAGCAGATCAAGAATAAAATCAATAAATATGCCTTTTCGGGCGGACGCACCACAGTGGAGGAGCATCGTCAACTGGGCGGCATACCCGACATCGATGTAGCTTATCAGCTACTCAAGTTTTTCCTAGAGGACGATAACAAACTCGAAGAAGTGCGTGTTGCCTACAGCAAGGGTGAAATGCTAACGGGCGAAATTAAAAAACTGGCTATAGAGGTGAGCTACAAAAAATTTCACTTAGAAACAAACTAATGTTTTCTTTTTCCCACAGACTCTTACGCCGATTGTTGAGCAGCATCAGGCGGCGCGTAAACTGGTAACGGACGAAGTGCTGGACAAATATTTCGAGATTCGAGCACTTAAATTTGGAAGCTAGAGCCAGTATATAGAGAAAGAACATTGTATACACAAAAATGTATTTATTGATTTGTGTGTTTGCCACACAGCTGTAAGCTTGTTGCACACGCAAGCCGCACGTTGCGCTCGCTATTTATTTACTAAGCAAAATTTTGTGTTATTATTTTTATAAGCACACAGAAAAAAGCAAACAAACCAATAAACGGCTATAAACTGACCCACTTTGGCTAGTTGTAAAATAGCTGTAAAACTCCGGACTCCAAAAACGGGAATAGTGCTTGGGCCGTCGCGTCGACTCCAAATGCGAAAACTTGTATAGTTATATATAGTGAATATATAGCTGCTATTCTGGCGCAAGCATCTGGTAAAGCAGCTAAAATAATATATTTCAGACTCGTCGCTGCGCAAAAATGTAATAATTTCCGTGTAATTCGAGAGTTATTGAACGCATTCAATTTCTGTTTCGGTCATAATAATACAATGTTAATAAAGCGAAAAATGATTTTAACTCCCAGTCGAGAGTAGTTGGGCCCACGATGTCTCTGGGCCAACTATACCTGAAGTAATATAATTTATGTATATACATATATAAATGTATGTTTATCAAACTTATACTATTGATGGGTATGTATTTAAGGTACATACATATATACATATACATACTATATGTATATAGGTTTCTTTTTATTTTTTTTTTAATTAACCCAAAACACTTGTGTTTACACGCGTTGAAAATATATTTATATGTGTATATATAGAGCCAAAGCCAGCCTATATACTGAGCTCCGTCGGTGCGCTTGTGTATATCATATACGAAGAATGCTGCTGCAAAGAAAAGTGAACTCAAACTCAAGTCGAGACGACGACGGTGGCGACGACAACGATCCATAAAGCCAGTTGCCCATAAGCCAAACGCGACTTCAGCATTGCACACGCGCATCATCTTCGACTCTCGCTGACAATAGAAGGAAATTAAGCCGCAGTCACCTTTGTTATTATCGGGGTTGCTGCTGTTGTTGTTGTTGTTGTTGTAGTTGTTGCTGTTGTTGCTGCTGCTGCTCTGGCAGGTACACAAAAGGAAAAGCCGACACACGTACCCGATCACGATCCTTGTTGACACACGTACTAAAAGCCACTCCATCAACTAGCTGACGCCATGAGCAGCAGCTCCAATGATGAATAGATAGGAAAAACAGTTTTCATTGAATTCGCTTCTAGCGCAGCTCATGCATCGACCAGCGACGATCCCTAAACGACAAAAACAAAACCGAAAGTGGGGATCATTGGCCAGCGACAGGTCGTCGTCAGCGGACGTCAATCGGCTTAAGCGATGAGCGATCAACTGTTGAGCGCTGCCACGGATGATGATCCACCAGCACTGATACCGACGCCAGTGTCATTGCCCAGCGCTTATGTTGATGCGGATGCATCTGCAGAGCAGCCCGTGCTCTTGGAGCTGGGCGCTGCCCAGCCACCGGCAGCGAGTCTCAACTATACGCTGTCACCGGATGGCGCTGCGATGCTCACCTATACAGCGCCCACCCACGCCCACATCAGCTATTCGCCCACATTGATGTCCAGTTATGAGAAGCAGCATAACCTCAGCCTGATTGGGCCGGGAATAGGTAGCAGTTCCGCCTACAGCATTAGCATACCACAGACTGTGTCCATGTGGCATGATGGCTGCGCGCCGCTTGAGCCCAAGCGCAGCGAACTGGTCGCCGTGCCGCCGCCCACATATATGACATATAGCGGGGGTGGCAGTGGTGGCGGTGGTGTTGGTGCAGTGGAGGTGGAGATTGCGAAGGAACAGAACCCGGCATGGCGCGAAAAGGCGCTACAAATGGAGAAAGACTACAGACGCACGGCCTGTGATAGGGAGCGCACGCGCATGCGTGACATGAATAAAGCCTTCGATCTGCTGCGCTCCAAGTTGCCCATCTCGAAGCCCAATGGCAAGAAGTACTCCAAAATCGAGAGCTTACGGTGAGTGGTCAATTTGTAACTCAATCATGGAACTGATTCGATAGCTTTCCATTGCAGCATCGCCATCAACTACATTAACCATCTGCAGGCCATGCTGCGCGAGAATCATGTGCTGCCCGAAACGGAGCTGGTTTCGTTCAAGTGCAGTAGTCGCTCTCTGCACTACGATAGCCAGAGCCAACACCTCAGTCACTCCGCTGGCTATGACTATGAGAACACCGCCTCAGCGGCTGCTTCATCACAGAATGGCTGCACCTGGAGCGGTGGCAGCAGCAGCTCGCCCAACTATGAGAGCAACTCCAAGGATCATTGGAACACGTAGTTATCCTTGGTCAGCACGGTTACAGTGCCATTGCCAAAGAAAGTTTCGGAATATGGAAAGTTTTCATCATACAGTGACTCTTTGATTTGTATATATCGTATAATACCAGTGTACCATGGGTAGCTTTCACCTGTTTTTCAGTTGAAAAAAATATAAAATAAACCGAAACAGTAATCAAACTTTTAATATTGGCCCTATCCTCAGCTAAATTTTAAAAAAATCTAATTAAATCTCAATAATAGTATACAATTTTAGGAAAAGTGTTAAGAAAATTGTATTCTGAAAAAGTTTGAGCATTACGATCGGCCCATCGTAACGTAATGTCAGTCGATAAGCAATAGTAATCCATGCTCATTGAAAAAAACAAAATTTTTTAAAAGTACGACCGATCTATAGTTTGAGTAATCTTAAACCATTGTTGTTTAATGCACACCCAATGTAATTTCCATCTAGGGAGTCTTCAGAAAGATATATCAAAAATGATCTGAGAGCAATTGAAGTTTTTAAAATTATTTTGTAGTGTAACCGCTTAGGTGTTAAATTAATTAAGTTGTTTCTGCAGCATTTGACTTTTTAGGTTATATTTATTGTAACTTTACTTTTTAAACACTTTACAGTTGATAATTTACATAAGTTTGAATAAAGAAATGACTGTTTCGATAATTTGTTAACCTAAAAAGTACAACAAACAGAAAAAAATATATAACAAATAATTATAGTTGATAATGGAATTACTGAACTGCATTTAAAAGTAATAAGTTTTAATACTTATTGTTTTATGTATAGCTTATGGGTGGTACACACAAAGCCAACTACACACTGTTCCACACACGCATACACACAATTTGTCCGCTATAGAATTGAAATAAGAACAGTATAGGCTTTTTTAGTTTTGAGTTGACTTTTTCGCAACATAAATGGGGCGAAATAACAAACGATGTGGAAGGTTTTAAACACTGTTTGGCATATGCAAAACTAGCGCTTAGTTGTCCTTCTTCATTCTTGTGGAAGTCATGCGGTAGATGATTGAGTCCCTGCCGGGATCCATAGAGCCGATGGCGTAGCAGATAGCCAAAAGTGACAGACCGAAGACGACCATGAACCACAGGATAATGTTGAAAATAACTGGATAGTCTTCGTTGTAGTAGATGGCGAAATTGTACTTGTTAGTGTCATCGGCTGCGACAACCTCACGCTTGTAACGAGAATTGACATCCTTGTCTGTGGATAGAACAAAGAGCACAGAATCACTGGACTTTTGTGCGGCAGCCAGAAGACGGCTAACGGCAGCTGAGATCAGCTTGTTAGCCTCATCCACAGCAACGGACTTCTCTCCATGCGCCTTGGCGATGCCATCGACGGACAGGCGAATGATCAAAACGTTGGACGGTTTCAGCATCTCGGCTAAATTTTCGGAGGCGGCATTAATGAAACCGATTTCCTGCAAGAACTGCTTATCAGCGTTGTGCAACGTGGGATTCAGGTGTTTGGTGGGCTTAGCAGCGGGCGAGTCAAATTCACCAAAGCAAGCCTTGAATGCTTGCACCTTAATAGAAAATAATTTAATAGATAGGTTAATAGGTCAGTTTCGGGCATTAACAACAACTTACACCCTCATCGTATTGGTCGAAGTTAATATCGCAGACTGGTTCATTGGCTGCCTCCAGTTCGGCGGCCAGTGCATTGAGCGAATGTCCAGTATTTGGTCCAACCAGTTCATAGGTTTTCGATTTGCCAGCCGTTGTCACATGGCTAAGACCCTCCACATGCACGGCAATCACGCCCTTGGCCAGGTTGAAAGGATCGTTGATAGTTAGGCCACTCCAATCAGAATCGCCAACGACGGCATTACCCATGGCAGCATATAAAACATCGCCGACATCGCGACTGTTCAGAGGATCAGTGCCCTTGAAGCTAATCGCCTTGGGGCTGTTCAGCACGGTGAACTCGCCAGCGGCATGAACTGTAGAATATTTGAATGTTTGTTTATTTTTGAATATAAAAAAGTTAATATAGTAAAACACTTGGTATTTTGCGATTCTGCGCAACCAGAAGTCGATGGGGCTCTTGCAGCCACCACCACCCTCATTAGCAGAATCGATGCGAGTTGGGATTATAGAATTTACACAATTCCTGCACATCGAACAGTGCGTAAACATTTTACAAACGATTTCTAAATAGATTTACTTACTTGCTGCTATACAAAGTGAAAAAACGAGTACGTTTTGCAACATTTTCATTTTTCTGCCAGCCTTTTAATCATATGACGAACAACTGCACAGAGAAAAACCTACTACGCTCTGACTGTCATGTGATGGATAGCAGAAGTGGTCGCTATCGAATGTTTCCCATCACTAATGAACAGAGTTGCCGTGAGTTTATTTCAATGAATGTCAAATATTGTGACGTCACAAACTAATCACAAGAGCTGATTAACAAAAGGTATAGTAATGCTTTATAACTAGAACTAAATTTCACTATTCTGCAGCAGATTTCAATAACTATATGACATATATTTTATTTATTCTAACGGTATTTAAAAACATTTGTCATAGTACTTTTTGGTATTTTTGTGATTGACAGCGACGGTCACAAGTTTTTGTTGTGTTTTTGCGTTTGTTTTTGCAAAATCAACAAAAAAGTGTGTAAAAAACGCACATTTTTGTTTATTTTTAAATATGTTATGGTCCTTGGAACAGGTGGAGGGCATGCTAACTGTCCTCAAAACCTCTACGGACAAAACTGTTGTATATAAATGCCTGGTAAAGCTGCGCACAGATGTGGTCAAAGATAAAGATGGAATTGTGTTGTTTCGAACTGCTGGGGGTGTTCCGGTAATGGTTCGCCTTATTAGCAAATTGAATGAAAAGATAATGGAAGTGGTTTTGAGCATATTAGGCAATTGCTGCACAGATGATCAGGCTTGCATAGAGGTGAGTGGGCCAATATCTAGTATAAATTATACAAATTAATAATAATATCACTAATTAATATCACCATTAATATCACTAACAGGCTGTGGAGTGTAAGGTCATTACCCCATTGATAACCATATTGAAGACGATTCCTAATCCGTTGATACAATGTCGAGCCTGTCGTATGCTTGGCAATCTGGCCAAAAGCAAGAAGGCCTCTTCATTTTTGAATGTACACTATAGCGCCATAGCGCCGGCTATTTGCCATATCGTCGAATCCACGAGCGCCGTTCAAACAAGAATAATGGCCTTTCGTGTCTGTCGATTTTTGCTGGTCAGCAGTCAGTTCTATAAACACTTTTTAGCCTCCAATGGCTTTCTGCAGCTGATGCGCATATTTGTGGCAGTGATGAAGAATAACGAAGCGCCCAAGGTATCTGAGCAGGATGCGGCCGACGTCTCAGCATTAGTTGGCCTTAAGCGTAATCAGCACCGGGAAAAGTATTTCGAGGAGGTGGCACGCAATCTGGAAGGCGTACGTAGCGACATTTTCGACTATCAAATGCTGAAGAACTCGACGCGCAACTGCGAGTACATTTTGCCTAAGGAGAACGATGCCATTGAGTTGGCCTATGAGATCCTGAAGTGCCTCATGCTGCTTTCTGCTCAGCAAATTGGCATGAGAGCCTGGGAGGTGCATATTGAGAATCCAACACTGTTCCAATTCCCTATCTTATAGTTTTTATATTCTAGCTACTATCACGCAATACTTCGCTGGCACCCATTGTATATTTCGTGAAGGAGGACAGCGAACAACGAGCTTCGGCACTTAAGATACTATCCAATTTTTGCAAGGATCCCTGCGCATTTTACATGCTCAGCACTGCCGACTCAATTGTGGCTGCCTGCGAGCTACTCATGGCTGTCAATATGACCAAGCCGCTGTCGGAGAGCGAGTGCCGACATTGTGTGAACATTATATCTACGCTGTCGGCTGACGCCTGCAGCCGTTCCAAAATACGACGATGTGGTGCACTGCGCAAGCTGGTGGCCATGATACGGGAGTCGCATTCACAGAGCGAGCGCTCATCTGTACGTTGTTTTCTATAAGCAATCTATAATCTAAGATATATATATTCATTTGATTTTCTAGCTTTTTCACATTCTGAACAACTTTCAATACGACAATCTGAGCATGGAACTGTTGCTGTACGAGGGTCTGGTGCCGATGCTAGTTCGTGAACTCAATGATTATTTGACCAGCGATGAGGAACATCACAGACGACGCCGCGAGGAGCGTATGCAGGGCGGCAAAAAGCGTAAATTAACTGATTCAACAACGCCAGAAACTCTGAGCAAGGTATATAGAAATGAATACAATTAATATATATTCAGTAATCAATCAGCTAATCAGCTCTTCAAATTCTGTGATAGTTCTCGAAAACCCAGGAGCCACTCAACTCGGACTTTGACTCGCCCAGCAGCTCGCCGCGCTCGTATCGCACCACCAGTCCTTGCAGTTCACGCAGCATGTCGCCCGTTTGCTCGAATCTCTTTGCCAATGATGACGACGAGAACTATTCACCCGCTTGCAGTGACGATGATGACGACGAGGATGATGGCAAGCCAAGCAGTGCCAACCCGGATACACGTGAATCTCGTATAGCTTCGAATCGTGCACAGCCCGCCAATGTAATGGACATACTTAAGCTAATAGACGAGGGCAGCGAAACAATTGATGACACCTTGTCCGATAAGGAGGATATGGAAGAGCTTAGCTCTGACGTGCCGCCCAAGCTGGCACAGCTGCGCAGTCAAGCGGGCGACACTATAGATGTCATCGAGAACTTAATTTACCGCATTACGCTGATGATTAATAAGCGACCGGAGCTGGGCAAACCGGAAACACTGGACACACTAATACGAGCTATCAATCTCTTTGGTGCCAACAATAATTTTGCCAATGCATTGACCAATATATTGCTGTAAGTTAGATAGGTTCTATATGCTGAATAGTTTTGCTAATATTCTAACTCTTTATGCAGCGAAAGCCAGTTCTTTGCCCAAATCATCAAGCATGGCGTTGTGCATCAACTTTATCAACTCACCAAAGTGGATGAGGTATTTAAAGCTTCTATACAATATCTTATGCCTAAGAGCAGACATCTCCGATCCTCCAATCCTTATTCTAAGCTTGACTACGCCGATTATCTAATGTGATTTGCATTGCAGATGCGAAAGGATGGGTTTGCTTTTCTGGAGACACTTACGAATGTGGGCGAGTCCAACTATGGCAAGGAAGAGCTGGTGCGATTACTGCGTTGCGAGACGGACTTGAATGCGCAGCAACGTGCGGCCATTTCCGTGGCATACATCATCAAAAGCCATCGGCTGCTTTATCAGTTCTTATATGATGGCAACGCTCTCACGCTGCTGTTCGACTTGCTGCTGCGCAAGAAGAGCGACAATTTGTATGCAGATGAAGCTGCGGATGCTGTGTCGGCCATGTCGCGTTTTACGCTGGGCATTATACTGCCCGATTCAGAGCAGCCAGACAGCAATGCTGGCATCTGTTTGAGCCAGCTGAACGCGGCAAATATCCCACTGCATGAGCATTGTGATATGCGATTTTTGCTGCCGAACGAAGATGTCGATGGCAAGGATTCGACTAGCCGAGGGACACTCAGCATTGGCTTTAACAAGCAGCTACTCTGTGATACCAGCGAGGTGTTTAACAAGATGCTCAATAGCGACTTTCGCGAGGGCCACGACGGCGAGATTCAGCTGCGCGACTATACGGCAAACGGATTGCGCTATTTCCTCCACTTAATTGGCTGCCAGGCCAGACACCTGACAATGCCAGACTATGGTGCCCTGTTGCAGGCCTTTGAGATGTCGCGCGTGTACATAATACCAGAGCTGGAGACGCTGCTGCACGAGCGTCTAATACAATTTCTCGACTCGCACAATTGTTTGAGATTGCTAGAGTGGGCCTTGAAGAACTACCATGCGGAGCTCACCGAGACAGCTATTAGCTATTATTTGTGCGCCGCGCTGCCGGCACAGGACAAACTGCAGCTGTTTCGAGCTGCCGAGGACTCGGTTTATGCCAGCGAATGGTTCCAGCTGCTCAACGATGCAGTTTACGAGCGATGTCGCAGCACAGGCTATTAGCTACTTAAGTTGTATGCCCAACCTGCCAACTATCAATGTGATTGTGTGTGTGTGTGTGTGTCTGTGTGTGTTTGTGAGTGTGTATGTGTGCGAGTTTGTGCCAAATCCGAATGCTTTGTATTTAAAGACCCAGCCAACCTTATAAGAATGCGCTACAATAATAATAAACTATAACTATCTAAAGACTAGTTGCGCTGCGTGGACTCATAGCTGGGCATGGCACAGAATCTGAGCACTAGCCAGTCCGTCAGTGGAGCTGGCGTTAACTTGAAGAGCCAACGATAGATTTTATAGCGCCAGGGTTCGTGTATGTACAGCGTCTTGGGCTGTGAGTTAGTCAGCGCATCCCTGAACTTCTGCAGCAGCGCCTCATCCTGCAGCTGATTGGGTTTCTTGAATCCACTGAGCATGCTCAGATACTGATGGAAGGCTTTAAAGTAGCTGCCATAGTGCGCTAACTGCTCCGCGCTGAATGCCTCCAGCTGTTGTTGGGCCTGCTGCTGCTGACGTGCGGCTATGTTGCTTTCTAGCACAAAGGAGCCGGGCACAAAGTTCACCACCTCCATGCCATATGGCTGGAGCTCAATGCGCAGCGCATCGTTCCACACACGCAGCGCTGCTTTTGTGGCGGCGTAGGGTGCCAGGGCGGGCAGCGCCTGGAAGCCACAATGGCTGGTCACATTGATGATGCGCGCGCGCTGCTGTCGCAGTAGCGGCAACAGCTGCCTGGTCAGACGCATGGTGCCCAGCAGATTGCAATTGATCTGCTGCTCGATTTGCGCCGGCAGCTGCCATTCGAATTCACCGAAGCACATGACGCCCGCATTGTTGACCAGCGCCAACAGCTGACAGTCCGTGCTGGCCAGCAGCTGCTCCAGCTTGGCATGCAGCTGCGCTACGGAATCCGGCTGCAGCAGATCCAGTTGCCAGGTGTGCATGCGTCGCTCATGCTCGCTAGCTTTGCTCATCTCCTGCAGCAGCTGTGCGCCCTGCGACTCCAGGTTGTGGCAGCAGGAGATGACTGTCATATGCAGCGCCCTATAGCAGTAGACAGCCAGGGAGTGTCTGCAACGATATATATATATATATATATATAAAAATAGTTTATATGGCATGAGCTACGTTAGCTTACCCCAAGCCCGAGTCGCAGCCCGTCACCAGCACCACTTGACGCGGGCCAACGCTCAGCTGGTGTCGACCCACGCCCAGGCAGCGTTTCAGGGCGTGCAGCAGTTGATTGCGGCTGCCCATATCGGCGGTTCCAGATTAACTGACGAAAAAAGTCCCAGAGAAAAAGAAACGAATGAAATGTAAACATGCAAAACGAACCCGAAATTTCAATTCATCTCATACATATATGCACTTATATGTATGTATGCGTCGGCATTATCTGTAGCCCAGCTCTATATATATATTTCTGTATAGCACACTTATACATAGCTCCATTTGCGCACCTTTCGAGTCTTACCTGCGCGTTAGGCTGTTGCCAAAAGAGAATTAAAAAACCCCTAGTCGTAGCGCCTCAGCTGGTTTGCACATACATATATCTATATATATATATATATATATTCTTTTTTATGGGAATTTTTTTATATTTTACCAAGCAGATATGAACGCTCTCATATAACTGACATCGGCTGAGCTTAAGTGTATATATTCATATATGTATTACCATCTCAGCTGAAACTTTACTGCATCAGATGACGCTACATTATCTTTGCAACAATTTAGATAATAGACCCCGCCACCGAAGCATAGATGACTTGAATACCCACCCACACGCTACCAACCAAATTTATGGAGATCTTTGCCGAATTAGTTATAGCTGGACTTATATGTTTATATCTGCAACTATATCTAGAGTATATTACAAAATAATAATTAAATACTTTACTTTACTTATTTGCTTTTAAGGTCCAGCCTAATTTACCTGACAAATTTGAACGCCCGCTGAGCCAGCGGTTTTGTAATCTTATGCGACTTCAATTGTTTCAGACACATCCGTTCCGACTGCGTTTGTCAGGTAGAAGCCGTGCCTTGATCTTGAGCTCTTCCTCTCTCTCTGACTCATTCTCCCTCTCTCTCTCCCTCTCTTGGCTAAAGTAGACAATTTGATTTTAAGGTTGTTCTGTTTTATATTTTATTTCTCTTATACAATTTTGGTTGTATCCATTTGGAAAGTGCATTTCATTTCGTTTCTGTTTACAGTTTTGTGATTTTTTTGTTTGAATCGAAGAATTTGATTATTGAAGGGAGTTTTTTCTCAGGGGAATTTACTCGTAAGGCTATATCAAATATTTTTGCCTGATTTGCATTTGCTCGTGTTTATCATCAAATATATATCTATATATATATATATATATATATATATGTATCATTTTTTTCGTATTGCGTAATACACATAATTACATATTAAATAATTGCTTTGCGTTTTGTTTTGTCATTTCTTATAAATTGTATTTGAAAATAGAGCGCATTTTGCGTTTAGTAAAAATATATTTGGGGTTTTTATATTTTGATTTCTTTGTTTATGTTTTTTTGTCTACTGTGCCTTAAGTCTTAAATAGTATATAGTATATATATATAGTAATTCAAATTCTCATTTTTCTCTCATTTGCAAACTATATTTATATCATTTGTTTTATATTCCCTATTTACTGTTTATCAAGGCAACGTATTTAGTGTTTTGTATTTTAAAAGTTTTTATTTTAATTAATTATTATTAATATTTAAATGTACAATTTTAAAACCGGCTTAGTTCATTTCATTACACGCTCTGTTAATGCTTTCTTTAAATGATTTATTTTTAGTTTATTTATTTAGGTTTTGTTTTAACTTGTTAATAATAAATATCACAACGCATCCTTCATATACAACAAACATCCTTTGCCAAACTCGTCTTCAATCGATCCTTACTTAAATCATTTTTACATTTCGGTCAAATGTTTAGGCATTCTTTATATATATATATATAAATATATATATATATATTTCTATGTATATTTTTTGAAAACACACGCAAATCAAAATGGTTGAAAAAATTGCACAAAATACAAGTAAATATAGTATATATACATATACATATATATATGTATATATATTCTATATGGTATATAAGTAGTTATAGATAATTGATAGCAAATCATAAATTAAACATAATAAAGATAATAATACAAAAGCAGTTATACATTTAACGGGAAAAACAATGTAAAATATTAAATAAGTTAGCCAAACGTGGGCTAGAATAATCATAAACATCGTTACAAAACAAGAGAAAACATTGTGTAAAAATCTTAATTAATTAGCGTTCGCTCACTGTAAGCGTTAATCTGTATATGAACATTAACTGTTGCCGCATGTGGCATGCTGCATACTGCATTAGACGCATTAGACTAACGGTTATATGTTTGACTTTCTTTCGTGGCATTCAGCATTTACGCATTAAACTAAATGTAATGTTTGACTCTAGTTAAGTTAAACTACATATGCACATAAATTGGTGCCACATGTGGCATGTGGCATGTTGCATGCTGCATACACGCATTAAACTAAATGTAATGTTTGACTTTCGTTAGCGACGCGCGCCACCGCCACGCACCCTACACTGGTTATAAGCTAACCAGCTTGGACGGCTCACTTGTGGGCGTGGGCAGCTCCAGCGGATGCTTGTTCTGGGAGGAGCAGGTGGGCATCAACGGACCCGACACGGGCGTCAGTCCAGTTCCACCATCCATCAGCGAATCGAAATTGAAGGTGCCCGTCGAGGGCGTCTGAATGGGCACGCCCTGAATCTGTGTCTGCGGTGCCTTGCCATCGATGGCAGCGGCAGCAGCAGCAGCGGCAGCGATACCAAATGGACGCTGGGCGTTCACATTGAGCGTATTGGGACGCGGCTTGGGCAGCTTGTTCAGCGCATGGGCGTTCAGTGTGGGGCTGCTGATGGCGCCGCTAAAGTGCGCAAAGCTGGACGGTGCTGTGCTCGAAATGGGCGTGTTCAATGAAGCGCCACCAGCCGGGCCCGTGGGCGTTTGCAGAGATGCATTGAATGTGGCAATGTTGGGCAGCGCAAAGCAGCGTTTGGCCGGCGTCGGTCCATCCTGATCCAGCGATGAGCCCGAATCGATGGCACCGTCCTGCGGTTCGTGCTTGATGTGCCGCAGCAGCTGCTCATCCGTGAGCACCGGCTTGAGATCCAACGGTGAATTGCTGCGTCCGGTCGAATTGAGCGTGGCATCGAAGCCGGTGATGGTGCCGTTGCTGCTGTCATTGCTATTGCTGTTGTTGTTGCTATTATTGCTGTTGTGGAGGCTGACGTTGCTGGCGTTGCAGTTGGCTACGTTGAGCAACGTCGTCGGCCCAATCAGGCCATTGCACGTGGCCACGGTGAGTAGATCGTCGCGCACTTTCTGGCATGTAGAGCTGTGCGCCTGGAGCACGTATTCCAACTGATTTTTGGTCGCATTCAAATTCTCAATCTCCTTTTTCAGGTCCTCGCCCTTCTTTACCAGCGCATCGACCTCATCGGTTAGCTCGTTGGTCTGATCGACGCGTCGCTTGCGACAACGCGCGGCCGCCAGCTTGTTGCGTTCGCGCCTTATGCGACGTTTCTCCTCCTCCTCCGGGGACATGTTGGCCGCCTTGTTGGGACGACGTCCGCCGCCGCGACGCGCCGGCGTGGCACTGTTTGAGGTAGTTGAATTGGTCGCGTGGATCGAGCCGCGTCCCGTATTGTTGACAGCCTCCAGGGCTGCCGTGAAATTATTGGCTCCACCATTGGAGCTGTTGCCCATCATATGGCCGCCATTCTGATACGAGGTGCTGTCTGTCGCGGCACTAGCTGCAATCGAAAGATGTTAAAGGATAAGTCAAGCTGTTCATTTAGTGGCTGCTGCTGCTTCAGCGACTACTCACAAGTATCTGTTGTGCTTTGGTCATCGTTCAGCTGTCCGTCGTTCCATGAGGCGTTGGAGTCCTCCGAATCACTGCCGGGCACACTGCTGCAATTGACGGCAAGCAAATCGAATTGCGGATTCGAATTGATCAGATTCGCATTGATCAGCGGCAATGTGGCGCCGCCAGCCGTTGTGGACGTGATTGTATTATTGTTCGTTACGTTGCCCAGGGATGTTAGTGGCGGCGGCTTGAAGCCCGCCTGGAAAGGCACATTCTGTGGCTCCGAGGTCAGCTCAAAGATGGTCTCCTCAATGGTGCGCAGCGTAGTCGGCGTCAGCGTTGGCGTTGTCAGCGTCGGTGCACTCTGCATGCCATCAAATGTAACGAGCTGCAAGATAATAAGGGTATTCCATTTAATAAATAATACTTCATTTCAATATCAAATCGAATAAAATTATGATTTCAATCAAATACAGAAAAAGAACAATATTTTTCGCAAATTTTCTATGAAAAGTAAAAAATAAACGCATTCAAAACAAGCATCGATAATTATCGATATCAAGAAGAATTATATGTATATAAGTTTATACATATATATAAACTCTCAACTCATCTAAGAATACATATATTATATCATATTTCTAAGGTAAAAAATACACATATCGATAAATGAATTATCGATTATGTAGCAACTAGTTCAGTGTAACCGAACAATGTTGCATTTGAGCTTAGTTACACAAGAGTTTTGATACACCTAGCCTATGGGCACGCCTGTTAGTCAGTTCGATAAGTTATCGCTTGTCATCGATCTATCGTACCTGCTGCATAAAAAGCTCACTAGCCAAAAAGTTTGCAATTTCGCTGGCACTATCCAACGTTAATTTATCGCCATTTGTTGTTGCTGCTGCTACCGCAGGCAGCTGCTGCTGTTGTTGTTGTTGCTGCTGTTGCTGTTGTTGTTGATTATAATTAATATGCGCACAATTGTTGCTGTATTGTTGTTGCTGCTGCTGTTGTTGCTGCTGGCTTAAAAAGCTTTGCATTTGGCACATGGCTGCCATTGCGGCTGTCGCAGTGTTCGCGTTGGCGGCGTTGGCGTGGCTATTGCCGTTAGCATTCACAGCAGCAACTGTTGTTGCGTGCATATTGCTGCGTGCCGTGTTGGCGTTGTTGTTGCTGTTGCTGTTGTTATGACCATATGATTGCTTTGCAAGTTGTTGCTGGTAGGCTGACTGTGTGGGCTGTTGCTGACGTAACAATTGCTGCTGCTGTTGCTGCTGCTGCTGCTGTTGCTGTTGCTGCAGCTGCTGCTGGTAGTACTGTTGTTGATTGTACTGCAATTGTTGCTGCTGCAGCTGGTTGTATTGTGCTGCATAGGGCAGCTGCAGTTGTTGCTGCTGCAACAGCAGTTGTTGGTGTTGCTGTTGTTGGTGTTGCTGCTGCTGTTGCTGTTGCTGCTGATGCTGCAGTTGCAACTGCTGCTGATAGTATGGCTGGTAGCACGCATTATGCGCTCTACCATTGAGATTTTTCATCATAACGCGCGTGGCTTATAGACTAGTTGGTTTCGCTAAGTATATATTACGTATACGTCTCAAATATTACGCATACGCACAGTAAACTATTATTGATTGGTTTTGTTTTTGTTTTTTTTTGACTAGCTTTTGTAAATTCGTATTGGCTTTTGGGCGTTTAACAATATAGGTGAACAACAATACGTATATAAATAAACTATATATACTTAATTAAAAAAACTAACAACAGCTGTTGCTGGCGAAATTTCTGTGTTAAATTTAAATATTTACAGCAAACTTTTCTTGGAAAAGCTTTAAATTGTAATGATGTTGTTGTCGTCGTTGTTGTTGTTGTTGCTCTTGAGTTGTTGGGCGCCAAAAGATATATATATATATCTGCTTTATATATATATATATATATATAGTTCGTTCGTTTCGCGTTTTGGCTTTTGCGTTTGCCTTTCGTTCAGTTATTTGTTCGTTCGTTTTGGACTTTTAATTCGTTGTTGTTGCTGCTATCTTAGCCACTTTCCGGCGGCTTGAGACGCGCCACCAGCAGCGTTTGCCAATTTCGCAAGGGTTCGAAATTTAAGTTCAACTCGGCCAATGCAAACATAATAAATTTAATTATCAAACTACAAATAGCACGTGTTGACAACGTTGTTTTTTTTTTAACAGTAATTACAAAAAGATTAAACAATTATAATTAATAACAGTTTACAAAAGAAAAACTGCTCTTAACTACAGGCAAATTGCGCGTGTTATATAATTGTGTTGTTGTTGCTGTTGTAGGTACATAAAGAGCTTCGTATATATATATATGTATTTATATATCTATGTACTATATACTAGGTACAGCTGTGTATATAAATTATAAGTTTTCCAGTCCTGTGGTGACTGAAAGTTAGGTTGAGAGGCGACTGTGCCTCTTATTGCTGGCCTCGGGCTCAGACAATGAAATAAGCCATTTAACGAGCAAATGACGGAGTGAATATTTATTTAAGCGGTTTACTGGAAGAACGCTTTTTAACCCTGCTTTTAATTGTTCTTTTTTGAATAATCGAAACAGTTAATTTTATTGGTTTTTCTTATTATATTCACTATTTTTAGTTTTACTTATATGACACCAATTTTTAGCATGTCCTATCAGTACGAGTTAAAACACGAGACTGATCTATATTTTTACAAATCATAGCCTCACCGGCGTAAGTAGAGTTGCCCTTGCCAGGGCTGTTCCTTAACTTGTCTAGCACCCGATAATAAGTGTTGAATAATACCTTACATTAAGTGTTATAAGCTAACTAAGTGTTATAAGTTAACTACCCCCCCCTCAAGTGTAAGGTCGTCCTCGACCGACCCAATTCCAGCGACGACTCCTCGCAAGTGCTTCGCGGACTTCTTTGCGTCGATGATCCACCAAAGAGTGAAGCCAATGCAGATTAAAGCACAGCATATGGCTCCTCTTTCGGAGTGCCGTACAACGACACATCATCAAAGTGCACCATTTCGGTTCCTTGGTCGCATATTAGCAGCGGTGACCAGCGAGTCGGTGCAGGTGTTCTCGAATGAAATCCGCAAGTCGTTCTCATTCACATTCAATACGGAGCAGTATGAGCAGCGTACTGATTCTTCGCTATCGCCGTTCAGCAGGCGCTTACTAAGCTTGCTCTTGCGCCTACGTATGTGGCGTCTGTTGAAGCTGTTGGTGCACGACGTGGACGTGGGCCTTGGCATCGGATGATGCATACCAAAGTTGTGCAGCTGCAGCGACTTGAGTGTGGCTGGCGCCGTCGATGACTGGCCGTGCACGTGCCCGTGATGGCCGTGATGACTGTGTCCCACCACTCCAGCGATGCTATGAGCCGTTACTGGACGAGTGATGTGTGTAGTCTGTCGGCGCGCTCAGCTGGCGATTGAATTCGGCCTTGCGGCGCGTCAAGTCCGTCAGGCAGTATTTGTTCAGATGGCCGTTGCTGGAGACAGGGCTCTTGGGCGATGATGCCAGATGCTGCGTATAGGCCGAAGGAGTTGCTGCTCACGCTTAGCTTATTGCCGGCGTTGTGCAGCAGATTGTTACAGTTCTTGCCGCTGATCTTGGCCGACTTTTGCCCGTCGTCGGTATCGTGTTGCTGCTGCTGCTAGCCGCCCTGTACTCCTTGTCGTCGCTCTCGCTGCGCACCGATGCTCGATACGCAGGAAATGTCTTCGTCTTGCTCTTCAGAGAGCCGTTCAGCAGTAGCTGCTGTTGCCGTGCGGCAACTGCCGACAATGCCGGCAGCTGCAGTTGACGTGACGCCGCTGCCGATGAGGATGAGGATGAGCCGGCAGCTGTGGCAGGTGTCGACAGAGATGGGCAGCGGTTGGAGCAACCTGTGGCTGTGAAACTTCTTGAATTAATGCAGTTGGCGGTGTTTTGGGGATTTCTTGACTTGGTTCTAGTATGGATGAAGAGTCGCTTGGCTCTGCCGCCGCGAAGAGTTCGTTAGTTGTTGCTGGCTGATGAGCTTCTACTGTTGGTGGTGGTGCCGTGAACAAGGGGGTTTCCTCAACGATTCCGCTTGTAGATTTGCATGCTGTGGTTCTGGCTTAGCATCCAACTATGGGGCGAATAGAGCTGTTGCTGGTTCTTGTGGACGACAGGATAAATCGTAATTTTTCTGCAGGCTTTTTTAATTTTTGGGAATTTGGTTATAAAATGTATAGTGTTGACGGATTCCTCTAGCCAAATTGATTTTAAATCTGAGGAGTCCAAAATGTTTGGGCTAACAATGAGCCTTCGCGAGAGTAATAGCAAGCATTAAACTTTGCAACTCGATCGTCCGCATTCTGTTTCTGGACAGTGTTTCAGTGTTTCAAATAAATAAATCAATTTGTGAGTTTTGGCTATCCCGAGAACTCCATTGACAGCAAATGTTAACTGGTTAAGCTGGTCTTGAACCTCAGTGTTTACTTCTATCCGTCTACTGTTGGCATTCATTAGTCGCATTTCAGTGGACCTAATCTACTCTAAATGACCGGCATCGGGTGTACCCGCCACCAAATTGTTTTATAAAAATTATGCCAAGTGGCTAAAGGTAAATTGAAAAACTATATCTAACTTATTCTAAATTGCCTAGCGGCTTATAATAAAAGGTGTAATAAAAAAACAAGGGAGTCATCTTAGGTTGTCCTTGTGGACCACCCTTCCTTTAATGAGGACCTCGGTCCCCAGGTCTGCTTCCACGGCCTTCTCGACACATAAAGGTGTGAGTTTGTTTCCGAGCCGTCGGTTGGACTTGACCAAATCCTTGTCACCAACATCGAAGACTCTATTCTGCCGCTTTGCGTTCTCCCTAGCTCTGAGCGTCGTCTGAGCGTTTCTGATCTTTTCTTCTATCTTTTCTTGTGGCTCTTGTTTTTTGGGGTGTCTATCATACTTAGCCCTAGCACATGTTTTGCAGTTTTGTACTATTTCCTTGGCAATTTTTGCCATCCGTGGAAAGTAGTACTCCGAGAGTACCTGCTTAACATTTTCCTGTGCAGACCTATGGGCCCTATTATGCTCGACTGTGAGGATTTCCCTTCCTTCTCCAACCGCAAATATGTCCACTACGCGATTTTTGCAATGCCAGAACTTTGTGGCTGGGTATCTTCGCACCAATGCATCTTGTATCATTGCAAGCGTGTGTAAATTACAGTGGAGAGCATTTACGCATTTGGGTGAGACTACATCTTCGAGCTCGTCTAGCAGCGATTCGACGCATGTATAGCTGATCAAGTAGCGTTTCTTATTTCCAAAAAGAATAAAACTTCGTTTTAAGGGGAAACGCGCCTCTTCTAGCACTATCTGGTTTTGAAAACAGTTCAAGGGTTTGTCTGTCGTCTCAATGGTGTTGGTGAGAGATACCTCACTGTGGATCGTTGCTGCGCAGGACTCAATTTCTTGCTCATTTATAGCGTTGAGCTGCTGTCTTGACAAGGCATCCGCAACCAGATTGTCCTTGCCAGGTTTATAGAAGATACGTGCATTAGACTCGTCAATGCGCGCTTTCCACCTTTTGATTTTCGCATTTGGATTAGATTCCGAAACTGCGAAGGTCAAGGGTTGATGGTCAGTGAAGATATTAATGTCTTTCACCCCATACAAATAGTGCCTTAATTTGGCAAGTGACCATACAATGGCCAATAACTCTCTCTCATTGGTTGCATAGTTAACCTCACTGTCCTTCAATGTTCTTGAAATCATTGTTATAGGACGACCCTCTTGAGACAAAACTGCACCTATGCCGTGAGCCGAAGCATCGGTCGTTAGATCGAATGGCTTCTTAAAATCGGGGTACCTGAGCATTACATTCTCGGATGACAAAATATCGCGCAACTTCTGAAATGCCCTCTGCTGCACTTCAGAGAATTGAACCTTTATATTTCTGGACCTATGCTTACTGACTGTTCCATTTTCACCCTTCAGGATATTCGAGATGGGTCTTGCTATTGCGGCGAAGTCCCTAATGAAACATCTGTAATAACTTGCGAGGCCTAGAAATGATCTAACCTCGAACAGCGTTTTTGGTTCTGGATACTCCTGTATTGCCCTAACCTTTTCAGGATCCGTCGTGGTGCCAGTGCTGGTGACTACGAAACCAAGAAAGTTCACGCTTTTCTTAAAAAAACGTGACTTTTTGACGGAGACCCTCATGTTTGCTTTGTATAAGCTTTTTAGGACCCGATCCACGTGTTTAATGTGGGATTCCTCATCTTCTGAAAAGATGATTACGTCATTGACATCAACATAGCAAAATTTGCCAATCTGCTCTCGCAGTATGTCGTCGATGGTTCTTTGAAAAATGCTTGCTGCATTCTTTAATCCAAAGGGGAGTCTTTTGAACTCGTATTTCCCCCCGTTCACAGAGAAAGAGGTTTTTTCACGGTCGCGTTCAGCGAGTATGATCTGGTGATAACCAGACTTGAGGTCTAATGTTGAAAAGAATTTGGCTCTCCCCAAATTCCCCAATATCATTGATATATTTGGCATAGGGTATTTGTCCGGCACGGTTTTTTCGTTAAGTTTACGAAAGTCCATTACCAACCTCATTTTCCTATTGCCCGCTTCATAAGTGCCCTTCTTGTCTACTACCCATATTGGGTTATTGTAGGGAGAGACGGACTTTTGAATTATATCATTCTTTAGTAGATCTTTGATTTCTTTATTAACGAAATCAGCCGCTCCCATTGGATATGGGTAAAGCTTGGTATAGATCGGTTGCTCATCTATGGTCCTAATGGTAGCCACGACTGATGTGTTATACGGCAACGTCTCGTCTGGGTCTGCAAAGGCCTTTTGTCTGGTCTTCAGCATTTTCAAAAAAGAACTTCTAACTAATGGGGATGCATCTGCTATTTGTTCAGCTAACTC